TTCTGTTTGCACTCATTTGGGTGCATCCTGCGTATCTAGTGATAAGAACTATTTAAATTAATAGAAGAAAAGAACTGAGACTCTTAGCAAAGACCATGCTGGGCAATGCACTTCATAGTTTTTCAGGGCAATATACTTGACTGACCAAACAATGTCTATCTCTAGATTTAAATCTTACTTTGGCATTTACACAAAGATGTGATGGTGACTGATAGATTACAAGCTGGAGACGATGCTTGCTCTGCTGTATTTGTGAATTGTTTGTGAAGCAGCAGAAATTGGGCACACATAGCAAGGCACTTAAATGCAGGTACCTTCGGGGACCTAATGAAATGCACTGCTTTGAAAAAAACACCTTCCCTAGTTGTCACAAACTTTATACCAAAAGTATTTCTAAAAGCCAAGAACAGCCAAAAGAATTAGGTTATTTTGAGGGGAACAGTGTATTGGTAGACATGCAGTGCACTCTTTATACGGGACAAAATAAAGCATTTAGTTTCAAGTTTTCAAGCTTCCTGTGCAACATCTAATTCCTGGTGGCTCAAAACTCCAGTTTGTTATTCTCATAACTGAAAGAGTTTGAAGCTTCCTAGAAAGCTCACGGCATATCACGGTCTTAGAAAATGAATTATGTAAAGGCTTATGTTGAAGATTTAGTCTCTCTGTTTTAGTGAACGTTGTGTTTGAGCTGAGATTATTCCTTTAGGCTTATTTTGAATATTGGAAACATGCACGTACCTTGTGTTTGCACAGAGAGATAAAACTGTTCAGTGCTATTGAGACATTTTTGTATTTCAGATTCTGCATAAATCAATCAAGAGAAATTATTGTTGCTTCAACAATAGGTACAGTAATTGAATACACTCAATCCGTTCACTAGTGCCTAATTTGACTTCTCGTAAGCCACCTTCCATTTATCTTTGTCAAGTAGCTATTATAGTAAGCTTTCATAGAATAAAATTGCATATTGATTTTTTTTTTCTTGGTGTGGTAAATGTTTGCACTGGAGTGTCATGCTAGAATTTCCAGATACTTAGGTACAAAATAAGCACCTAAGCATTAGTTGATCTGCTTTGGTTGCTACTGCAAATTTCAGTCCATCTAAATTCATTTGTGCAATTCTTCTGTGGAAATTCACAATAAATAAGTTGGTTTTTGTCATATATTATGTATTCACCTCAATAAACTGTCTTGAATTTCTAGCATGAGCCCAGCAAAGCCATATAATTATCTTTCCAAAGGAAAATTAAATAGACTTTCTGCCAAGTCTATCAACACTATCTTTGAAAGCGATAAACACTCACTTAATGGCACGTGCCACCACCCATGTGAGACATGCTTCATGTGGATTTTGGTTGCATTTGCTCAGCACTGTTTAAGCACATTTGGTTAAGAAAATTCTGTTAATTCTTTGAGCTATTTATAGCCTTCTTGCTGACTTTTCACAGCGTGTTTAACAGTGTGTTTAGCAGTCTGCATACTGCTTTCCATAACAGAGTTCTGTAGTATCTGGGGCCTTGAGTTATATTGTGACACCATGAGCCTTCAATACCAATAAGCATATATATGTAACATTTTGTTACTGGATTTTGTTACTATATAATAGCTGGGAAATGACCAAAGATCTCCAGAATCTTCATTCAGTAACTTCACTTTGAAGCAATACTCCTCCTCCAGTCTGTGCTTTCTTGAGTTTATTAGTAAGAGATGCAAGGAGAAGTGCAAAGAAACCATGTTGACATTTTTAATCTCCTTTTTTTTTTTTATTTTTATTTTTTCCCTTTTTGTCTCTTTTAGAAATCTAAATCACTTCTAAGTTTGCCCACTGACTGTTTGTGAGGATAACTTTCCTTATGGCTTGAAAGTATTAAGTTCATGCTTTTCTCATCACTGTCATAAGCCGTAACGTGCTGTTGTTCATCAGTGTAAGCTGAGCATCTGGCAATTTAGATGACATGGTAAATATTTAAAAGAGAAATTTCAGATTCACTTTTAGCAGGTGGTGAGTGAATGCAACTAAACCAAGTACTTACCACTAAACCTTTTCAAAAACATCTTTATTTTTCGTTAAGTTCACATTTAGTCCTTGATCCAAGAAAGACCTCTGCACGTGTGGCAGCCATACTGCCCCTAACTTCATTTTACAGGCTATGGCAGTAGGGAGGACTCTGCAGCATGACTGAACACAGAGACACATCCTGACCCATGCTAAGACCTGATCTTTCCAGACCTCTTCATCTTCATTGCTTTTTGTAGCAGCCTAGAAAGCCTAGCTTTTTAGATGTTGCTTGCTCACTTGCCAGGAGTCACTTTAATCTTGTTTGTATTTTTATTTATTGGTTATAGTGCTGCTAATCAGCCCTCAGTTGTTTCAGGTATGGACTATGTTATGTATATTATGCTATTTATATGACAAATGCCAATGTCCAGTGAAACAGTTAATAGAGTCTTTGAAACTACATTCCAGTAGTCCAATTCACCAGGATTAATGCTTCTCGAATACTCCCCAGGGACTTATTTGCTTTCTGCCTGACATGGCAATCTACCTCTCTCTCTCCTAGTATTCTAGCCCTTAAAAGCCATCATAAATGTTAGCAGCATCCTCCCTTTCTGTGCCTTCCTAAAATCCTCACTCACCAGCTTGCAAGTGAGTGTGCAGGTAACTATGTACCAGAATTTCTGTGAAAACTAGATGAAAACGCACCAATAGGGAGGACAGAAGTGAACTTGGAAAATGGTAGGAGGTCTAAATCAGTTATTTCTTCGCCCTTTCATACCAAATATTTGAGTCAGAAGCACCGTGTAGGACCTTAGAGTTCACTAAAAGAGATGAGAATAAGCAGCTCTTACTTTCTAGAAGGTAAACTCTCTCTTCCAACCAGACAGAGCAACAAACTTCAGGCTCCTCCCAAGTAGAAACTAAAAAGGCACAGCCAGAAACAAACTTGTTTTGTTCATTTTCACATCATTTTTACTTCATCCCTGGAGCAGAATGAAGGTATGTAAAGATGTATGCAATCAAGGAGGAAAAAATGACGTTCAGGCATTCATGTTGCAGTTTATTTGAGGGTCATAGAGAATGTTGAGCTAATTCATATTTCTCTGATAGTTAATTAGACTTACTGTGTCACTGTGTCAGGGAAATACAAATTGGAAAGTATCTGTATTTGCTTAACTAGTAAAACCACTGTGGTTGTTCTGTTCCTGTTCTTCAGATGCAGGATGCTTCATATGCGGCTTCTTGGTGTTCTGCCTTGAGCTTGCACTCACTAATTTGCTTTGATTCTATCCTCTGCCTAAGTATGAGTCCCAACAGGACAGACTGATGTTGTCTTTCAGAGATTTTGCTTGTTATTTTTTCTTACACAGAGAGGAACAAAAATAATCTTTGTCAAAATAAGTCAAAATAAAGGTGGCTAACCTTTTGGAAAATAAACTGGAAATTGTTCCTACCTTGGAATATTTGAATTGTTATGAAAAAGTTTATGGGCTAACATTCATGTTAAGCATAAAAAGCTCAAACTGTAAATCACAACAGTGTTTTTAATGTTTTTTCATTAAAGACACATGGAAAATCAGGGATATCTTGTAGTGATATCTTGACTATGATTATGTATGAGGCTCTTCTATATTAAACACTAGGCTGGAGTAGCATTAGCGTAACAGGAACAAGCATATACAGCTGTCTTTTGAATTAAAGACCAGTGTGTGCGTTCCTTTTATTGGTTTCAAACAGTTATTTGAGAACAATTAAAATATTAAAGCTAGAAAACTGATTTAAAAAGTAATCAAAACCAGTCCTTATTTGCATACAGACACATTCATGTTTGAATTATTTTCTAATGAAAATCTCTCTTTTTTTTTTTTTTTATCTTTCTGTAGATGAAGCCTGTCCTTAATTTATTCTTAATGCAATAACAAAACCTACAGATTTTAAGAAATATTTTTGAGTTAGTGCTTTGGCATTTGTTGCCATATTTTGTAAGAATATGTTTCAAGAGCAAGGTGTATTCTTTTCTAGTTTTTTTTTTTTTTTTTCTTAATGAAAGCCTAGAACTTACCAATAAAACAAAACGTCTTTCGATTTTTTTAGTTGTTAAGGCTGTCTCAAGATTTATAGATATACATAGACTGCTCCGAAAGTAATGCCTCCTATTTATTTCCATGGAAACTACAATAGATACCGAGAATGCAGTAACAATATTTGGTAGTGCAAATGCTCAGCTACGAATAGTATTTTTCAACATAGCCACCACCATTAGCTGTGCATTTTTGCCAGAGATGAACAAGACCCTGCATGCTACACTAGTAAAAATCTGCATGGCTGTCCAACACGTGCCTTGTCTTTCATGTCATTGCTTCCACTGCTTAAACACACCCCCTACTTCTTTGCTGTGCTCACATCCGCTGTTTGGTCTCCATAGATGTTCATTAAGCATTGATGAATGTCAACGGGTCTCACTTCTTCCTCATGAAGGAACTCAATAGCACATCTTTGCTTTATCTGCACTTCCTTGTCAGACCCCATTTGTTAGACTGCCCCTCTGCTGCCATCTGTCACACAGCAAGAAAATGTAATGGGATATTGGTTGGGAAGGTCCAACCTCTCCTGCTATACCGCCAACAACTGCCTTTGATTTTGTGAACCAACATAATAAAATAGGACACGTTACTATACACCCTCATATTGATTATTTATGTGTAATTGTTTAATGCAGTTATATGTTTTATATTTCAATCACTTCACTGAAGATAGAAAATTTAATTCTCACAATAAACCTAAATAAATAAACTGTGATACTTCTATTTCAGTGCTAGTATTGATAATGGTGGCTAGAAGTGATTGTAAATGCATTTAGTTTGTGAAATGGAAGGAGAAGTTCATTGTTCAAAAAGTTGTGATTTCCTACAACATAACAGCAAGTCTTGTTTAAGATGTCCCAAGTGGAATGCCTACAATCAATAATACCTTTTTTTTTGCTTTCTGTCTACTTTTGCAGGTGAAAGAAGAGACCTGAACAGGAGAGTCCAGCTTTCTCAGTTTTGCCAAAGATATCTCAGATTAAAGCATTGATATTGCATGCGTCTCTTGGGCATGAAAGGTAAGGCCTTTATGTGCTTATTTCTTAATTAGCACTGTATTTTAAATGCAGCAGACAGTTCTTTGGCAATTTTGACCTTTGTAAACATCAGATTGTGTTGCACCGTGTGAAGCAATCAAGAGACTTTGCAGTGTCATTCTATACTGCCTCTACGCTTGTTGTATTACTGTTGGTCAAGCTTTGAGCACTCTGATAGATTTTGAAAACACTTTAGAATGAGCTTGGTCTCTGTAGAAATTGCATTTATTAAGGTCATAAGGTAAAACATATCCAAAAGAATGTTTTAACCATTCTTACATAGCTCTTCTGGCAATTGAAAGGGTTTTGGATCGTGCATTTGAATCATGTTTGTGGCACAAATTCTCAGTCTTGAGTCAGCAGTTACCTAAATTCAATGAGTCTCTTTCCTTTCACAAGGCAGTAAACTCGCATTTAAAGCTAGATGTGCTGAGTATTAGGGAGTAGTGAGACTGTCTGTGTAGTTAGGTTTGAATTGGGAACTCCAAGAGATGGTAAGTAGCTATGGCAGCAGTTGCTTTAAGCAGCTGCATCCCAGGAAAACTGGGAATATCATGGCAACCTCAGAGGATGGATTAAACTGGTTCTTCTCTTCTGTGTGACTGTAAGAAGAGGTCTGGAGAGCTAACACAAATGCGTTCATTAAATAATCAGGATTTTTGCAAGATCATGCCTTGTAATTGAATATCTCACACACAAACTTTAAAATTCAGGATCCAAACTAGACCAGTGCAGTATTGTGCCTTTCCTTAGAAAAGGCTTCCTCTTTTGACAGCTCATGTTGTGGTTTGCTGGTGTCATTAAATGCTCATTAATAATGAAAGCATGCATTACAAATGTTTACCTTGCTTTAACTGGGATCTAAGCCTCTGGACAATGAAAATATGGAGGTAATGCTTTGACTGCAATGTTGCTACAATGGAAATGTACGTTTCAGGCATTATGAAGTGATTTAACTGACTTTAATATGTAGAAGTAAGCTCTGTTTTCAAGTGATCTATAATTAACCAAGTATTCCTTAACAATCTAGAGTACTTGTTTTGGTGCTTTCCCGTGATAAAGTAGCTTTATCATCAGAAATAATGTTACAGGTTGGCTCTAATCAGATATTCTCAATGTCTAATGTTCTTCTTGCTGCATGCAACTGAACACAGATGTGAACTGTAGGAAGGTGGCCAGTATTTCTATAAATTTGGCAGGCAGCGTATGGAAAGCCTTACAGTAGCTGGCAATTTTGGGGACTGTGAAAAGGTCAGATGTGTTTTTATTACATAAATGTGTACAGCTTTGTCCTTAACAAGATCTTTCTTCTTTCTTTTTCTCTCTTCAACTACTGTTTTAATTTGGAGTGTAGAGAGAATGGAGACTTTTATTTAATTCTTCTTTTTTTTAATGCGTGCATCACTTCTAATAAGTTACAAATAATGTTTCACACTGTTATAAAGCAGATGCAAATCTAATTTTCTGCAGTTTACTGAGAAGACATGAACAGAAATGTAAATTACCACAAAACATTGAGAAATATGCTGTGGGGTTTAATGGCATTTATATCACAATACAACCACGTAACATCTATAGGTTTGCAATGTAGCAAAATGTTCAGTGCAAATAAGATGCACACAAAAACCATCTGCATGGAGTTACTTATCTGCACATCTTCAAATATTTTTTTGATTACACTAATGGTAATAGCACAGATTTGGAGGTGTTACAATTTACTTCAGGGAAGATTTGGGGATGAAAAGGACTGTAGGTGAGTTTGCCAAGAGCTACGTGTTGAAAGGAGTGGTCTTTTAGAATCAGTAAACAGCACTTAGTTTTAATCACTAATGGTCTACATACGTTTCAGGAAAGTTTGTTATGTTTTAGCAAGATGTTGGAACAACTTGTGGCTAAGCCTGTGTGTGTCCTGTAGACCACAGTCATGTTATTTTTCATTGCTTTTCAAAGCATAAACCAATATATAAATGTTCAGATAGAATTGAAATAGATCCGCACAGAAAATAATACCTCTCACCTTTTTTTTCTTTTCTTTATAAATGATCCCTGTTGAAAACTCCAATAATGGTTGAAAGGGCCTCAAAAATGGAATAGTTTTAGGCAAATATCTAAAATATATTGATTTAAAGGATGCATGTTCTGGGCATGTGCAATTAGTTAGATCGCATGAAGAGCTACTGCTATGAAACATAAGAAAAGCTTGAGATACCAGATAAAATTTTGAAGGCTTGTATCTTAAGTCCTACATTAATTAAATTCTTTCACCATAAAATGCCATCATCAACAAAAATGATTCCCATTAAAAACAACAGCAACAAACAAAGAACAAAAAACCCAACGCCCAAACCTTCCCTACTTAGTTCTGTGCTTGAGCCACTTTTTTGATACTTTGTGGCTCTAAGGTCCAGACTTAATCATCGTCAACTGCGATGTGTGCATGAATTTTTGTGTGGATAAGTGTTGATAAAAAAACCAAAAACTGACAAGCAACTACGTAATCAAGAGGTAAGCAATAAGAAACAGGACAGATTGTTTGTCAAGATAAATAGGGCTGTAAGTAATTAGATGAAAATGGAGGGGAAAAAAAAAAAAAAAGAGAAGACTGGTATCCAGACAAAAATAACATCTCCGAAGTTTTGACCTGTGGATTTTGGAGAATGTAGGAACTTATGAATGCCATATAGTTCAGGACTGTTAGAACTCTACAGTCCTAAATATTAGTAAGAGGTCTTCAAGAAACAGTTCACCCATGGCAGAACATGCATTTTGAAGTAGGTAATATATAATGTATTCCCAGCATGTTTGTTTCATAGTTCCCTATGAGAACTATAAGAGAGTAGCATCTCTTCTTTAGGCTGCACATGTGTAGGTTTTCATTGACTGCAGACACAGCAACTGATGATTTCTGACTGCAGACCAAGCTTGGGTTTTTTCTTCACACTGCTGTTTTGTTGTGTTGTTTTGTTTTTTTTTTCAGTTTTAAGGATAAGAGGCTCAAGATTATTCTAAGCCTTTAAGGAACTCTTGACAACTGCTTGATTTGAATTTTCTTCTAGGAACATTAGCCTTTGTATATTGTTATGTATAGAACTAAGATGAATTTCACAGCAGTTAAAAGGATAGAGGTCTGCTATCTCATGAATGGTAGCACTGAAACTATGGAGTTATCCACAGAAGAGTAGCGGCCGTAAAGTGTAAATCTTTTCCTATCAAAAACTATAGTTAATAAGTAGCATTTTGGTTTTTTTGAACAAAGTCTGGAACAATCCTTGTTTTGTTGAAAAATGCTTAATTAAGACCAATTTGAATTTGAACTCACATGTGTATCTTGCTTGGTAAAATACACCTGATGACCTTTCTCACTTCTATACAAATGAATTCGAGGCAAATTATCTTGTGAGCCTCCACGCATTGCTGTTGTGCATAACAGAACAATATGAGCTCCCTCTTGTGGTTTGAAGTCACTTCTCATTCACAAAACTGAAAAAGTGCAAGTGGCAAAAACATTGCAAAAGGTTCTCCTGTAATTGTTGGACTCTATTAAAGAATAATTTTCTGATGTCCCTCGGTATTAAGGAGAAGTGAGATTTAGAAGTGTGCAGAAAAAGGGAGAGGACTGAGGGTCATTCTCACCATGGAGCAAAAGCTTATCTAATTACATCATGTTTCAAATCCCGCATAACCATTCCAGGTATGTAGGTGGAGAGTCCTCAGTCTAACGGAGCGTTCTTCTCTGCCATTAACAACAAGATAAGTGTTCTCATTAAGATGGAAGGAGTACTGAAACAACTTCTGGAGTGACAGACACTGCAAAATAAGCTTCTTATTGTAGGCACTTAGTAAAGACCGAAAATTCTTAGAGACCTGTAAAGAATTTCAGTCTTCTTGCATAGAAATAATAGTTATGAAGTATCAGTTTCATTGGTAGCACTATGTTACAGGTTTGCTGCCCAGAGACTGCTTGTGGTTGTCACTTGTTTACCAAATTTACTTTTGCTCTTATTAATGAAACAAAGAGAAAACAAGTACAGCAACTCTGAAATTGTGATTTATTTAGCCTGTACTTGTTGTTCTTTCTTGTGCAAGTTAATCTCTTGTAGTTCGTGCCCTATGCTTACAAAACGCTACAAAACTAGAAACTCCAAACTTAATGAATGAAAATATCATGGGAAGCCAGGGACTCCTGTTCTCCGCATGAAAATAGATCTTTTGGTTTCTAATCTGTGATTTTTCTTTTTAGATTGGCTAAGTTGTTTATTTTTAGAGAAATGTTTGTCGCCAGGGGGACCAGTTATAAATGAGACGTTGTTTTGTGTTGACTTGTGCAATGATTATAGATGTAATTGCTGTTATAGTGATGTCATAACTGATTTATTTTGGGCAGTCTTTTTAACAATTTTACATCACAATGAGAAGTGCTGTGCATCAACTTTTGCATGATTTATTAGGCTGTTGTAAAGTATCCAACCTCAAGATGTTGAGAGATCGTAATTTTGCATGCTAGATTTGGTTTATGAGGAAGTGCTCTGTGGGAAATCAGGTCAGAAGGTAAATTGGGAGCATACACATTTTCCTGAAAGGAGGTGACAGTACGCTTCTGCACCATTGAATGAGAGATGGATTGGGTTCATTCATTAATCTTTTATCAAGTGTCATTTATTTGGTAGAAGATGAAAATTGCACGAGAATTGGAGAGCTTAGAAAGAACTGAAAATAATGTGAGTCGGGGAAGGGATTTGGAAGACTTTGTCTAGGAAATTTAATTTATGCTCTTTTATATTTCAGTTGAAAACATGACTATGATAACAGTTCTAGAATAGATCCTCTTGCATATGAACATGCATTTGATTATACTTAGGAACAATTCAAGCTATACTTCAAAAAAAATTACCTTATGGATTTTTTTCTGGTGGGAAGACTTTTAACGGTGTTGTCTACATGGACAGTAAATGAGCAATATCAAATATTTATATTAAAAAAAG